TTTATAGTAAATTAAGTTAGTTTAATTGAGAGGGGAACCCATTTTTTTCTTGCATTTTTTCATGAAAAATTGTAACGAAATAGTCATTTTTCTTGGTAATTAATTACTTTTATAGTCCTGTGACTCTACTTTGTCAAGAAAGTGACTGTTAATTAATCAGTAACTATAACTAATTACATTTTAAAGTAACGTTCCCAACACTGTTCATCACACAGTAACTGATTCTGCTATCGGGCCCGACACACACCACTGAGATGATGAATTAAATGACACGTGGAGTTACTCCACCATTGTTCCCAGCTCTGCACCTCTCTCACACTCGCTTCAGCATCTCCTCAAGCATGGAGAGTCTGTGCACAGCCACAGGAACTTTCTCAAAGTGGTGCTGGTAAAAGAAAGTAACACGCAATCGTTCATTTCTGCTCATATTTTCCAGCACTGTTCGTGTCTGACGCGCTGCGCCCCGGCGGAGCTCATGACCTGTGCTCCAGTGACTTCCCCTTTCTGCCGTGACCGCAGCACTTTTATCGTTTTTGGTGTAATTGAGCAGCCCTACTGTTGAGGTTAAAACTGCTGACATAGGTTTATGTGAGAGGGATTTAGAATAAACAACGTCACGAACATGTTTGGTGTCAACCACAGAACTAAAGAAAAAGGTCCTCATTTAAAGGTAACTCGGCGTTGCCACTGAGCAGTAAAGTTACCAGAAGACAAATATTTCTTTGCCCTGATTTGGATTTTAAACACTGTACCTAAATGTGGGAAATGGTAAATGAACTGCACTTGTCTAGGGTTGTCACGGTAACCGGTGTAGCGGTAAACCCCGGTAAAAAAGTTGACGATAATAATAACCATCTTGTTTAAAAAAAAAAATCTCCGTGGGTTACCGTGGCTGCGGTGTCGGCGCGGTGACCCTTACCAGCCACCGTATCATCTGCTGAAGTTGCCGGCGGCACATGCGCACTTTGTTGTTTACAACCAAAACTTTCTTGAAGCTAAAGCTGAAATAATGGCCAAAGGAGGAGACGGCAGCGCTCAGGACATTTATTATCCCTCAAAGAAGACAAAGTGGGAAGTACGGGCATCTTTTGGATATTTGAAGAATGCCGAGGGACAGTTGATAGAAGACGGCTATCCTGTTTGCAGCACGTGCAGAAAAAGTGTCTGTGAAAGGCAGCAACGCTTCAAATCTCATGACACATCTGCGTGACCATCACCCACAACTCTACAGTCAACGCAAGGCAAGCTAACGTTAGCGTTTTAGCTAAAATGCGTGATCCGAGGATTTGGGTTGAGGGAGAATGCAACGAGTCGCTATATAAAGCAGCCGCAGCGCCGCTACCTGCATATAAACCGTGTCGCGGACACCGCCATGTTGAAATGACGCTATGCATTACGGGGCTCCCAGGGGCAGATAAGAGTTGGTCTCTCTCCGAGAATAATTATGAATTTAACAACGATTACTGCCTGATGACATTTTCCCACATCTGCAAAGCTCACTGGAAGGACACAAACCGAGGACGATATTTTCCTGATATAGGGTTTATTACTCAAGTAAGGGTAAAAAAGTATCTGATTAGAAGGCTACTTGAGTACTGAGTATCATCTGATCTAATGTTTTTAAATGATGACATCAGACAGACATAAAATAAGAAGTTATGGGCAAATATTGTATTTTAAAGACTAAAGGAGAAAAATGTAAACAAATAAACAACATAATTACAAAATAACACATTTTAGGCCAAATTTAGACACAAACTGAGGACAATGTTTCCTTACATACAGGGTTTATTTAATTGTGTGAAAATGTAGCACGTTTAAAAAAAATACCGCGATAAAACCGAAAACCGTGGTAATTTTGGTCACAATAACCGTGAGGTTACATTTTCACACCGTGACAACCCTACTTGTACCACGCCATTCTGAGTCAGAGGAATCCAAAGCGCTTTACATCAGTCATTCACACACTGGCGATGAGCTACACTGTAGCCACAGCTGCCCTGGCAGAGGCCCCATACACAGGCACCACCAGCAGGCAAGGAGGTGAAAAGTCTTGCCCAAGGACACGATGACTGACACAGAGTCTGGGTTGGAACTTGCAACCCACCCACTACAGGTTGAGTCCTAACCGCTGCGTCAGTGTTCACCAGGAAGATCCCTGGGTGTTAGTCACTAGGGTTCTCCGTAACCTTGGGGAGCCACACAGTGGTGGCGCTAGGGGGCGCTATAGCAACCCCTGGATTAGTCCTCGCACCCCCAAGTAAATATTAGAATTTTTTTTTACACTTTAATTTTAATTTAACGTGTGGATGTGATAATATTTAACATACAAAACAAAAATAATCAGTAAATTATCATATAGATAGTAAAAACTTAAACCAAAACAGGAAATTGATGTTAACCTTTGACCTCATTTTCCACCTGTGAACGAGTGAAAGGTAGAGCTAGCGGTAAGATGGATCGGTTTTTGTTGCCCACATTTCCACGGGTTCAGTCAGACACGAATGAATGAATGGAAGTGATCTCAGACCCACAAAAACCTACGGACCTGGATGAAGAGAGTCAACCCTCAACCACTGCAGCAGTCCAGGGTTTAGCCGCTGGAAATGCTAACGCTAACGTTAGCTAACCTTGCTACACTATAGATGGTTTTCTGTGTGGCTGTATGTGTTTATGATTTCATGAAAAAGTCAGCGATTGTTCATATGTTTATGATGTATATTAATGATTGTTTCAGGTGTTGTGCACGCATGTGTATCTGCTAGTGTTGAAGGTGTTTTAGAGAACAACAGGTACGCATGACCACTTCCTTCATAGCACCCTCAATAAAAAGACTAGCTCCTTCATAGCACCTGCAGAAAAACATTTCTGGAGCCACACTTCATCTTTGGTCACCATAATTTTCAGCAGCATCAGCAGCATCAGGGCTTGTTTCGTCAGCACGCGCCTAACGTTACTGCATGTGTACTCTAAAACAAAGCAAATACACACTTTTAGTTGCAGACTGATTAATACGAAGTGTGTTTTCTTAAAATATCTCTACTTTGACATAATTCTGCTGAGATTGTTTAAACATTTCAAAAGACTAGCAAGTAAGAGGCTGGAAGCACAAAGACGGATCAGTGGTAGCGCTCTGACATGTCGGGTCAGCACCAGACCGTGTTCCAGCCCAGCAGGGTTTATTACAGTTGCTGGAGCATCCATATTTAAACACCTCCATCCTGTCTGAGGGTGGGAGCCCCCTCCTCTCCACATTGACATCCATGTTGTTGCCATGAATTCAGCTGAATATTTTCATAGGAGACGGTCAAATCTCATTTGTCCACAGCTGTGAAAACCAATCTGACTGGTTTCTGATATTCCTGAACAGCGTTGAACTTCTGTTCACATGTAGAGCTCTGTACAGGACTGATGATGAAAACGCCATTTGTCTGGAGTTTTTTGTGTGCTACTAAAGGTCAGAAGTGTAGGGGAGACACTCGATTCCCTGAAATCGGGAGAGTCTGGTGGATGTGTAAAGACTAGAACAAAAGGAGTAACCTGAGACCAGAGCGCTCCAGGTTTAGTGCCTCTGTGAGGCTTTAGTAAGTGGGAAATTGTCTACTTTTATGGTAAATGCACCTTTGCTACAACTTTCATTTTTAGGTACTATTTCCAGTAGCGGGACTAAGAAGACACTCCGGCCTCCACCGGAGCAGTAATGTTGTTACATCAGCTGTTCTCTGTGTTTGTAGGTGTGCTCCTCTGCTCTTGAGAGTTTCTTCTCTTAGATCCTGAGAGAAAATGTTTTAGTGCTCTTAAAATTATATTCTGGTCATAAATACTTACGGCCGTTGTTTGAAGAAAGACGTGTTTGTCCAACAGAACTTATGAATACAGGTCAATGGGCCAATGGTACCAGAGGTTGTTACTTGGGTAAGAGTCTTTAAAATGCCTCGTCTTGACCTGATGGGTCCACTGTGCTTCCTGTACCTATAGCATAAAATATCACATCATCTGCAAACATTCAGAGAAAAGCTAGACTCTGGCTAGTAGAACTTGTTGGGCCTGATCAGAATACAGCATTAATCGATAATCGGTAGACACCTTTACATCTGGGTTGGCACAGACCAGACCCGGAAGGGAGACTTTTGTTCAAATCTGGGTCACCGTTGTGTTTTCCTGTCTGTCCCGGCCCGTTTTTCCAGACCTCCCGGGAGGTCCAGCGAGGGTCGATGTGGCCCGGCGCGCACATTAGGGACGTATTGGCTGGCTGAAATGCACGCCTACTTCCTTCGATTGGCGAGCAGAATCAGCCAGCGGGGGCTTGTCGCATGCCCGATTCATTTTCATTCGGTCAAGCAAAGCACAGGGCAGGGTGGGGGCAGACGGTGGGGCGGAGGAGAGGTGTGAGCGTGGTTTGAGGACACACAGCAGTAAATTAGTAAAATAATGTTGTTCAGAGTCTTCAAAAGAAAGACGGCTCACGCCGCCCTTTATTTATCTTATTGCTGCGGTCTTAAACGCCGCTCACGTGTTCGGGGATTTCCACATTCCTGAGAAATTTTTGGGAACCGTATGTGGAGAAAAACCGCCCATTTGAGAGTGAACCAACGCAGTCCTTGACCGTTCTGACCCAGATGTGTAAGCAGCTAGTGTGAAACAAGGGAAGTGACCCAACACCTAATCTTGTATTTTTGAACTTTTATGGGACTTTTACCTTTGACTTATTAGGCAAAACAAACTTAAACCATACTTTAGTTAAATCACGGTCAGCAGCAGTACACACTCTTAGTTTTTCTCTAAAATCTTCAGTAACTTTCTGGTTTTCATTTATTTCAAGTTGTTTTCTATTTTAGGACATCAAAGACCTGGTCCGGCTCCTGTGTGAGCTCATGGCTAGTCTGGATGCAGCCATCAAACCACTCCAGAAACAAAAACCGTTTAAAAGTTCGTTGTTTCGTGTAAAAGCCCAAATGTTTAAAACTGTCTAACTTGTTTCTTGCACGGTGTCTCCTCAGTATCTGATGCAGAAGGCAGTGAGGGGGGCTTTCAGCTGAAGAAGGAACATGCTCTACGTGTCCTGGGCTACATCAGCTCCTGGACTCAGAGGTCAGTGATGAATCCTGTCCTATCCGGATCCTCAAAGACCACCTTTAGGGCGGGACCGTGTTAGGAAAAGGTTAAATTACGATTTTTGTGACAGAATTTTTCATTTCAATTTGAATCACAATTTTCTTCGGATCAAGCTTTGGCACAAAATGAACTATGTACAGTAACATTAATGACAAGAAATGACATCATACTATCAAAACATTAAAGTGTATGACGTAAGAATGACATCCTGTGGTTAAATTCAGGTACTGCAGCCTATTTTCAAAACAATTGAGCAACTGACAGTCGTGATGCCGGCCCGACTTGACCCGTGGGACCTCAACGGAGCAGGGATTTAAAAACTGGGAGAAAATAGTGGGAAAATACCAATCCGTGGTGTTGGGAAAGGTGGCCAGACCGCGCAGCACTAATCCGAGTTACTCAGTAGTGCCGTTGGGAAGGAGAATAGCTAACGACTAGAGTTGCTGAAAAAAATCGATTCAAGTCTGAATCGGGATTCTTATTTATGAAGATTCAGAATCGATCCCAAGAACTCAAATATTTGGCACGTTACAGGTTTGAGATGCACTTTTGTCTGTTTTTTATCTTTGTTAGGAGAGTCAGTACTCCGTTTACTTTTGTGGTCCCATAAATTGAGATGATTTATGTTTGAATCTGCTGATAAGAGGGCACTTGAATGTAAGTTTTTCCATACTCAGAAATTTGAGATATTCTCATATTTATGTTGATAAGTGAGTACTCAGGATTACTCGTGTATTTATTTGAAGTTATTGATAAATGAGAGAAAACATTTTCCTTTGTAAGAAATCTGAGGCACTTTTTTTAAAACAGGTTGAGGACTCAAATGTTAAACTTGTTTCTACACATACTTGAAAAGTATTTGACCGTATTACTTTCAAAGCTACTGTTAGATAACTAAAGATTTGTTATATTTTACAAGGTAAGCAAAAATAAATGTTGCCTTTTGGTCAAAAGGTTGTTTCTGTTTACAATTTTAGAATCACTTTAGTTTACCTTGTAAATTAGCATCTTTGGAGCATGACCAGTTTAAAGTCTACTAAAAATGTCCCATAGCTTTAACTACCTTGTACAACAAAGTAGTTCATCCTGGAACTGACACTCTTTGTTAACATTGATTATGAATTGATTTAAATCGAGAATCGATTCTGAATCGAATCAAATCGTGAGTTGCTTTAAGACTCACATCCCTCCTAACAACCCCCCAGCCGGCTCAGAAGGAAATCCAACATGATAGAGACGTTGGACTGTTGTGGGTAGGGATGGGTACCTTTGACATTTGAATCGATCCGGTACTAATTCCCGGTACCTACGAACTGATTCCGGTACTTAACGGTACCAATTTTTGATACTTTTGAGTGTTTAATACTTTAATTCTCTTTTATAATTAAATATATATTTTTCTCAATTTATAACCATATTTGATAAATATCACGATAAATAACATACAACTGTTTGTATTTTAACATCGTCCTTGTAGTTTTATAAGCTGATAATTAAACTGAAGCAAACATCTTTACTGTGAACTAAATTTACTGTGTATCTTCATTCCTTTTGCCATCTTTTTTCATTTGATTTTTCCTACTGGGAAGTTAGAATTTCCCAGGAGAAAGCGAACGCACCATTAGATGATAACAACGGTGGCAATGGAAGCTAACATATCAAGCTAACGTTATCTTAAACAGTTTATTTAGCTGCTGGAGCAGATTAAAACGATGATGCCTCACACTTAGATCGTTGTCGCTGGTTTCATCTTCACCCAATCACCCGTCGCATTTAGTAAAGTGGATTCAAGCTTTAGCTTTCGTTCTTTCTACCATGCTGCTCTGTTTACAACTGGCTCGCAGCAACCGATGACATAACTCTCTTGCGCATGCGCAGCTGTCTAGGAATGTTCTCGTTGTGAAGGACGGGTACCGAAACGAGGCACCGTTTGAAATGAAGTGAATCGGTGCTCGGTCGGTACCTTAAAAAGTACCAAATTCGGTACCCATCCCTAGTTGTGGGATTATTTCACCGTAACATTCTTAAGTATTGCTCCTTTACAGGCTAAAACCATTATGATGCAAGAATAAAAACCAAAGGTGAGAACTGCTTTGAGATGCATTTATTATTGACCAACATCTTTTCTACGCTGCTTCACCAAGGAGTGCCGCCTGAATGCTCTTTCTCACAGGAACGCCGCAGTGCCACTGAACGCTGACACACAGCTCATGCTTACGTTGGATTTCTGTAACTCTGCAGCAGTTTTTATGCTGATAGAAAAACTTCTAGTGGTTTTTGAAAGAAAAAGAAAATTTGCGCTTCATGTCCACACAGTGTCACAACACTAAATCCCAGAAGCCTCATTCATCAAAAGTTCCTAGAAATATTCCTAAATTCCTCCCTATAAATGAAATTTTAAATGTTCGTACGAATGGCAGAAATCCTGATTTATGAAACATGCGGCGGCCTCTCGTACGCGCATTCCTCCGCACTCGTCTGATGATAAATCCCACCTGTGTGTACCCAGGTGCTCGTGTCCGTTCTCAGTCATTTACAAACAGAAACGCCCTTAATTAACCATATTTGGTCACACTACGTACTCGGCACGTGAGGGGATTCCTGCGTTCTACCTGGAAGAAAACAGAAAGCTTTGTTGCGAGATTGAGTCACTTCCTGCCGGGATGCAAAATAACCAAACAAGTGTCAGAGGTTCTAAACGCGGTCGGGACAGAGGAGAGGTCTCCGTCAGGAGTAAGTAAAAACTTTTATCTGATAAACCGAAGGGTAACTGGTTGTCTTTTACATTTAAGGAGTCGTTCTGGATGGTGTTCGTATTAGTGCAGCTTCTTAGCTGTCATTCAGTCTGGTTACCATGGCAACGCACGTGTGCTCATGGAGCAGAGGAGGTTCTGGACGTTCTCATAGTTGTAAAATAGAACATGGACCGGATTCGGAATCGGGCGGTTTATCTGTCGCTCCACAGAGGGTCCCAAATCCCAGCACAGCTCCAGGTGGATCTGCTGTCAGCGCGCTCACGGAGACACGTTTACTCCAGAGAGCAGCTCTGAAAAATCCTTAATAATTATATAGAAACGATATTTTATCTAACGCACCTCAAGCAAAATCACCAGGAGTACCCTAACCCTCACAAGGACAAAAATATAATGCAGTTTAATTAAATTAAAGATAATATTAAATAAAAAAAATTAAAAATATCATAAAAATGGGAAGTGTAACAATTGTGATTACAAAAACACGACATTCATTTTATAAAGTCAGATTACCGTCGGGTGTTTCAGCACCAGTTATGTGACTCGGCTGTTTTTCCACAGAAACATTTATTTAATAATTAGTGGATGAGGAACGTGTGTGGATGACTGAGACCTTCGGTGTTGCGGCTCCCTGTTCTACCACTAGATGCTGTTCCTACACACGGTCTGAGGTTTTCTAATGTTTATGATGAATATTACACAATGTGTAAATTAGTTCCTACGCAAACGCACACATCTGTTCGTAAGTATGGTCGATAAATGGGGCCCCTGGACTTTTAACTTTGCTATCAAAACATCCATCCATTCGTTTGTCCGTCCATCCATCCATCCAGTCTAAATGTTTGAAATATTTTAGTTTTTACTTCTACCAGTGCATGGTTTTGGTATAATATCTATATCTGTATTCGGTAAAAAGTCCAAAATAACATTTTAGTTTCCAATGCGTGCACATTTTCTCCAGCAACAGATTCACGAACACGTTTACTGTACCAGATCATGATCTGTGATTCAGTCCATTAGGGTCCATATCATGCTGTTTTAAAACTTTGAAAGGTAGGCACAATGTATGATAAAATATTACCGTTGGCACTATTGAGACGTCATTTATCCTAAATACGAATTATCTTCACCAGAGGAACTGAAACGCTTGGTTTCAGTGAAGCTCCGCCCACTCCCACTCCGACATATGCCTACAATAGCGCCCTAGGCAAGTTGGTTACTGTATTGGCCTGGGTAGTCCCGTGGAAAAGGTGTCTGCCTAGCATCTCCATATATCCTCCATATATCTCAGACCTTATAAGTTTTCACACCCCATCCCGTTCACTCAGATCTTCTTCTTCCATCCATCTTGCGGTTCCTTCTGCCCGTCTCGCTACCATGGGGAGCAGAGCTTTCAGCCGCTCTGCTCCCCGTCTCTGGAACTCACTCCCCCCAGACATCAGGAACATCGACAGTTTTAACCTTTTCAAATCAAAACACATGTTTAAATCTGCCTACAACCTCTGATTTTAATGACCTGTTTCTCTCTTTGTTTTTTCTTGTTTGGGTTTTATTATTGTTTTATTGTATTTTATTACGTGTTTTCTGTCAAGTGACCTTGGGTGTTCTGAAAGGCGCTTTTAATAAAAAAAAAAAAGTATTATCTCAGGTTAGCCGTGTGCTGCCGTGGGTGTGAATCTCGGTGTCAGCAGTAATTTATTTAGCCAGCTGAAGCAGATTTAATGTTTTTATATTTGAGCTTTTTTGATTATTTTCTGCAAAATATTTTGTGTCTCTAAACATCTTAGAATTTTTGTCATTTCCAATCAGCTTTGTAGTTGATCTGCTCTGCTCGCCTCACATGGACTCACACTGGCGAAATAAACAAAGCAACAAACCGATTAGTCCTTATATTTTAAACTGTTTAACACTAAAGGGTTGAAAACATAGAACTGGCAAGTGCAGCTAAACAAAGTTACCGCTGAGACTGGGAAGTGAACCTGCATGCCAGTCTAGCTCACTTACCCACTAGACTACCAAGTCTGTCACATGACACCCGTCACCTATGCCACACTTCCTGAGCCGGCCAGGGCAGACGGGTTTCACACCAGAGACTAGCTTCAGGGGGAGGAGGATGTTGGGAGCAGGAAGGTGGAGTGATGTACAGCTTCTACCTTAGGCCTTTTCAGGAATTCCAAAATAAAATTTGAAATTTGCAGCTAAAAAAGTATGAATGCAGCCAAAAATGGGAGTGGGGGTATTTTTCATTAGGACACAACAATCACACCTGCCAGAAAGCTCCAAAAAGTGGATTTTCCACGATATGGCGCCTTTAAGAACATTTCTACATGTTGTGGTGCATTTAGCTACTGCTGCCTGTTTAATGTACGCACGCTTGTCTTCTCTAGGCAATGTCTATGCTGCTTCAAGGAGTACAAACATCTGGAGGTCTTTAATCAGCTGATCTATGCCCTCATCAACCTAGTTATTGCTCAGATCAGCAGCCTGAGGAACCAGCTCTGCAGTGGCCAGAACTGCGCACACAAAGGGACTGTGTCCGAGACTGAGGGAGCCGGGCCTGAATGGACCAGAGAGGAGTCTGCTCCTGGCACCACCCCCCAACCGACCTCACCAGGAGAAGACGAACCCGTGAACGTGGAAAGAGACTCTGCTGAAGAGGACACGGATACGCCTGACGTAAACCAGAACAAGAGTCAGAGTCTAGATCAGGGGCTGACCCGCTCAGGGGAGGTCCAGGCGGAAGCAGCGAGACCTGCGAGTGGAAGCGATGAGTTTGGGGAGGATTGTGCTGGAGCTGCCAGCGACAGCCAGGATCTCTTCAGCTCCTGGACCATGGAGGAGAGAGAAAAACTGCTTCTGTGTGCGGCCAAGATTTTTCAGATCCAGTTCCCTCTCTACACGGCCTACAAACACAACACACACCCCACCCTGGAGGTAAGGAGGCCGGATCACTGCAGGTTTCTTAGTCGCTGGATAGCAGCTTCATGTCTTCACCCTGGACCTGGCAAATGTACGACGTATCAGCATTTACACAGATGTGGTTGGTGACAGCTTTTTAATTGCACCATTTTGTCTTGGGGAGAACATCTCGGTTATTGTGATGGACCTGGTTCACACTGGTACAGCTGTGACTCGCTGATGGTGATGATGAAGAACAGGGCGCTTCTCGTTTCTGCACACCTGGTTTTCTTAACTCCATTTGCAGATATTTCTAATTGGTTTACGCAAACATGATCGTATCATCAGCTTCTCATTACAGCTTTACTTGAACTCTAGATAGTAGCAGCGAGGGCTTTAGGGATTAACCTGCCTGACTACTCACACCACGGTGTGAAACCGTAACCCACCGTAAAGACGTGTCCAACACCGCAAATTAAAAAGATATTAGCAGACCCAAACAAAAGTGAAACTGAACAGATGCACACAGCAGAACTAGCGACAACCACCACCAGGACTGCCCCATTTCCAACCAAGAAGCACTTGAAGTCTCCAGTTTTGGAGTATTTTAGACTCCCAAAGCTGCTACATGACAAATTCAGGACGATGGATCGTCCATCTGCAGAGCTGGCAGAAAAGGGTTGCGACACCTCTACTTGTTATCATCACAGTACCAGCTGATGGAGGGCTCTAGTTTCGTGTCAGCGGACACGGTAGGGTCTGCCATGACGCTAGGGCTGCACCGAACAATTATGCGGATCATCGATGAATCGGATAGGGTCTCGACTCGATTAATCGCATTAAACAGGAACATTTAAAAACTGCTAGGGAAACAGTTTTTCTTTTCTTCCTTTACTTTATTTGACAACAGAACATGATTAGAAAACTGTTCAATAGCGTGCACATCATCTAAATATATCCATAGTTAAACTATGATCTGTAAAATTCAATGCATTTCATCAGCATGTTCACGCATTTATCAGTTTTTATCGATTCATTGTTGCAGCCCTGCATGACGCTTTACGTCTGCCTCCTTGGAGTAATTTGTTTAGTAAAATAAAGAAATGTCAGTAATTCTTTAGTTCAATTTAAACTAAAGTGTTTTTATAAAGAGTGGCCTCCAGACGGACATTCGGCTCTCATCCCACCCTCCCGCCACTTAGTTTATGAATGTTGTAGCAAGTGTGGTGCTTTGGTTGTGAGTCAGATTTACTTTAGAAAGCTTTGTTTATGTAACACATTTCCCACACAAAGGCAACTCTGTAAGAACAAACAAAACAAACACAAAAATGAACAATCATGTAATTACACAAATGAGTGACAGGGTATCCGCGGGTCCTTAAAAAGTCTTAAATTTGCTTTTCCAAATTTAAGGCCTTGAAAATCCTTAAAAATGACAAATAATCCTTAAATACAGTTTCTGAAGGTCTTAAAATACCAAAGACCCAATAAACAAGATTATTTTATTTTTATAAAATTTTTATGAATTTCTAGTTTGTGTTCAGCATTTTTTGTGTACGATGTTGGCGTAAGCGGAACCGTACACATTCAGTTGGTTTTGAAAGGGGGCTATTTTTAGATGAGCACATTAGCTGGTTAAGCTAGTGGGAGCTTGCGCCGTGGGGAAGTGCAAGTTTAATGGTATCTAGATGGCTAATCACACGTTCACAACGTGGTTGGTACCAGTTCCAGGCAATAGCTGGAAATTATAGCTTATATTTAATTGAAAAAATTGCTTAAATTTGGTCAAAGTGGCCTTAAAAAAGGTCTTAAAAAGTCTTAAATTTGGCTCCCTTAAACCTGCACATACCCTGGAGTGAACTAACAGAAATTAAATTCTTTGAGTAGGTAAGAAGGCTGACCAGGAGTTACTAAGTGGAGTTACTAAGGAGTTACTAAGCAAGTGAAAACATTGATTAAGTTGAAGGTAGAAGGTGACTAAAACTAATGCAGTAAAAGCTGGTACAATGTACTACAACAAACATTGATGACTGACGTTATTAAACCAGCAGAAATTCAATACTTTGAGTTGGTGTAAGGCGACTGACACTAGTGCAGAAAACTAACAGGAAGCCATTGAGGCATTTAGTAGATGAAGTGGTTAGCCAGGAATTACCGAGTTTGTGACAGCATTGATCAAACTAAAAGTATAAGGTAGTGACAAAACAAACAGAAAAATGAACAATGGAATTGCATATAAATCACCAAAGACTAAAACTAGAAAACCGACAGAATATCAGTCAAACACTGAGTGGAGGAATAAATGTGGCCAGTCAGGATTTCCTAAGTGTGTGAAAACATTGATAAAGCTAAAGGTGTAAGGTGACTAAAACTAAGGCAGTAAAATCTAGTACAATGAGCTAAACAAACAATCTGTCAGACATCATCAACCGGCATGTCCCGGTGCGTTCCCTTAGGTCAGCTGACCAGAGGCTATTAACTGTGCCCAGGTACAGCTTGAAGTCGTGTGGGAGCCGTGCCTTCTCAGTGCTGGGATCAAGGCTCTGGAATAAGCTGCCGGTGTCGGTACAAGATCGGCTCGTGGTCCTTCGACTGCCGATGACGTCAAAGTAGTTGATTGGCTGAACATGAACCTTACGGAATTACGTAATCACGTTACGTTGTTATCACGTTACGTTGTTATCACGTTACGTTGGTCCAGGCAAATCTTTCTGCTGGAAAGATGGACAACTTTTACAAAGAAATCCATCATTACCTCTTTGAAAATACACTTTTAGCATAGAGCTGCATGTATATTAGGGCTGAACGATTAACTGCACGTGCAATTAAATTGCGATGAGACAAAAGGAGATTTTCTAATCGCAAAGGCTGCAATTTGGCAGCGAGTGGTTAGCGCAATGCTAATATACATGGAAAAACCCATAGGAATGCTAATGCTAATATCACTGATTACATTATTACAAATTATGAATTAGAAACGTGCCATATGATGATTACATTTGGAGTCTAATAGAAAGTAAAACTACCATCAATCAAATAAGTACAGACAGGTATTTTAGTAAAGCCAGAAAACTTTTAACTCCAGAGTTTTGGCTAGCAGCTATGAGCGTACCTGAACTACGCATGGACAAGACGTCAAAAACTCTAAACACAAAATACTTCAATAAACGGGACACACTTCTTTCCTGCAAATACAGTTTCACAGGTGTTGCTAATACCTATGATCCTTCAAGGGATGTGCTCAAAGAGGAGTTCAACATTATAAATAAAATATAGTGTTTTATTTTACAAATACCATTATAAACACAAACATAAGAAACATTTTAAAAACGAAACTGCTAAATTCTTTCCAACAGTATAGATGTGTAGTGTATTTTGTCCGAGTGGGTTTGCCGTAGGGATGCAGAACAGCGCTACGCCCTCTGTTGTCCTGGCGGGGAATTGCTTTGCAACACTCCCCAGGAGACAGAGAAGTATGAGGGCAAAATGTCTCCGTCTGTGCGTGTCTGTCCCTGTTGGAGCTGACGGAGAAGCATGAATCGGGCTTCAGAGGATGGGGGGGCGGTTGTCGTCCTATATTCAGGTCAATATGGTATTATGACAAATTAGCAAAGGTAAGATTGAATTTACAATTTTGACTTTATTTACTTAGCTTTGTTTTGCTGCTGCGTTGCTCTGTGAGTTTTGCAGGTAGAGTAATTGTTCTCGTATTGTTCTTAAAATGAGAGTCTGGGCTTTAATTTAAACGGCTGCCTCTGTGGATAGGACTATGTTGCTTGTTGCTTCTATGCATTTTTCTGTGTATTTAGCTTTTTCAGCCTCTTTATTTGGTGTCCTTGTTGAGATTGAAAACGTGGATTCTATCATAAGAATGGTAATTTGGTGTCCCCTAGTGGTGATATGTTGTTAGCACGTCTAACAGACGGCACAACGCTCCCCACCAAAAACAAAATTCACCAGCCACCACTGGCAAATCTTCTCGTAGTTTCACTCTTAAACCCAATCTGTGGACTGTTACAGTCCTTTCCAGTGGGTTGTGTCTTTGCTGGTTTTCCTTTTTTTCCTCAACAACACCTGGATTACCACATTGTGCACCAGTAAAACGAGTTCAGACTGTGGTGCGCGCATTTACCGAAGCTCTGAATCAGTAAAAAATGAATGGAGGAGTTTAATAAATCGAACCAATGGAAGATTGGTTTTCCGCGCTATGCCCCACACCCTTGAGTTTTGGGAGCTAAGGCGCTGTAGCTACTCCTGTCGTAGGTCAGCTTCTGGAAGAAACGTAGAAAACGTCTGAGGGTCTCTAATACAGAAACGCCTGGGAGTTATGTCCCACTCTGATGCTGGACTGCTTCATGAGGAGCAATCTCCTTATGATCCTGACATTACTGCAGTCACATCGTTGTTTCTGCTCCCAGTCTGGGTCTTTCTCTATGTGATTCAGGATTTGTAGCTCTGGAACCAGACATTTCAAACGTGAGTAAGAGTTAGCCTAGAAGAAAAGTCACAGAGCTCCGAAGCGATACTGAGATAGCTTTATGTAACGGGTTCTGTGCTACGAACTTCACCTACGTGATTTCCATCAACCATAGAGCTAACTGTGAAAGAGTTGCATGCGTCCTTTAAACCGGAGTGAAACTAAACGTTAACCCAGCAGCAGTTAGACAGACGTCTGGTGATTTCCATGTTTCTTGTTTCCAGGACATATCTGCACATGAAAGCAACATCCTTGGATCCTTCTGTGACATGAACGTAAGAGTCTCTCTCTTTTTATTGTATTGGGTGTGTTTTTCCATGCTGAATGCATTTCCTGTATTTAGATACTGGTCATCTTATGTGTGTTCTTGCTGTGTCTTTCTAAATCCATGCTTTCGTTCTTTTTTAAACACAGAAACAGTTTTGTTTACCTGTTTGTAGCTACAGTTTCGCCGACGGCTGCCGGCTTCTTCAGGCTGACGCTGATGGTGGCGCGTCACTTCCTTCTCCGTTTATCTGCGGGCAGCAGAGGACGTTGTCGCCCTCTACTGCCCGCTCTCCCCTCTCCGACGATGCAGTCCCATGCTGGTCCAGCGTGTAAACTCCGTCGTCCCTGTTCATGGTCCCACATCCACGTCTCCTTTTCTCGATTGCTTCCTTGATCCATCTTTTGTATTTTTGTTGTTCGGTGGTTATGATCCGTGTGCTGTCCCAGTCCATTATATGGTTTTCTCTTAAGCAATGATCTGTTACGGCTGATAAGATAAGAGAAATACGGACACCAAGGAACGAAGGACTTCCGCCGTTTGGAACGGTTACACCAGAAACGCGCACGTCTAAGAAACCACCTTCGCTTCTGTTTAAGATGCCGGAACGAAAACATCACACCCACAAGCCTACAGCTGAAAACACTGATCCGGACCAAGACAGCACAAAATATAATAGAAAGAGCACAGAGAGCACTGCTCAAGGAGAGGATAAGGAACGTCATAACCAAACAGAGGCGTGTGGAGGACGAACTGGAAAGAGGACACCTGGACTTGAAAAGGAATTACAAACTTGATAAACAAATGGAGGAACTAATTAAAGGACACATGATGGAAAAACAGGAACAAGAGTTCATAAAAGTAAAAGAAAGACACATAAAGAAGTTAAACAGACTCATAAACAAGAAAAAGAGGGGAGAACTACAAGATAACTCCACACCAAACTCATGGGTATGTAACATTTCACAATACGAACTAACAGAAGCAGAAGAAAGCATATTAAAGAAAGGTTTAAACTTTGCAGTCACACCAAAAGAAATACCATATGATGAATTTATTGTAGCAGCAGAACTAGCATGTCAACAGATCACAGATGAGGGAAAGAAAGCAGAACTCAGAAATAACGTTGTTGGGATATTAAAAAACAGCCAAATTCAACACAGCAATATTACAAAAGAAGAACAATCAGCCATGACAGCTTTATCCAAAAATGAACAGATAATTATTCTACCGGCAGACAAAGGAAGAACCACAGTAGTTATGGACAGAGAAAAATATAAACAACAGATGAAACAGATGCTAGAGGATAAAAATACATATGAAATACTTAAAAAAGATCCAACAGAAAACATTAAGAAAAACATGAAAAAATTACTGAAGCCACTGCACGAAAAAGGCAAAATAACAGAAAAAATGTACAAACACTGGATTTCCACAGCAAACATAACACCAAGAATATATGGAACGCCAAAAATACATAAACAAAACACCCCACTTAGACCAATAGTAGACAGCATAGGTACACCAACATACAACATGGCAAAAGATATCAGCAGAATCATCAGCCCGTTATTAGGAAATACAGACCAACACTGCAAAAATAGTATAGAACTGGTAAAAGAACTAAAGGAAATTACAATAGAAGACAACGACATACTCATCTCACATGACGTCACATCTCTGTTCACAAAAACACCAACCCAAAAAACCATAGACATAGTAGTTAACAGAATCAGACAAGACAAAACTTTACACAAAAGGACAAACCTCACAGCAGATGACATAGCACAACTGATAGGACTGGTAACTAACTCCACTTACTTCACATACGACACAATATACAAACAACTGGAAGGCTTCGCCATGGGTAACCCGTTATCAGCCACCCTGTGCGAGTTTTTCATGGAAGACCTGGAACAAAAAGCCATAGCCACCGCCCCCCAAACTGCAAAATAAAACTATGGAAACGCTACGTGGATGACATACTGGAAATCATACCAAAAGGTCAAACAGAAACACTAACACAACACTTGAATAACATTGACGACACGGGCAACATAAAATTCACTTATGAGTTAGAAACAGAAGGCAGCATAGCATTTATGGATATGAAAATCACCAGGCAGACCGACGGGACCCTAAACATAAACACATACAGGAAACCAACACACACAGACCAATATCTATTATGGACATCAGAACACCCCACCATACACAACATGTCAGTAATCAGAACATTATATCACCGAGCAAACATAATAACAGAAGAGAGAGACCGTAAACAAGAGGACAAACACATACAACACGCTTTAAAGACCTGCGCATACCTGACATGGGCAATAAACAAAGGAAAACAACAAACAAAAACAGAAAGCAAAGAACAACCCAAAAAAAGAACCAGAAACCCAGTAAGACAAGAACCAAAACCAGTGATAACCCTACCATACATCAGAGGCATAACGGAAAAAATAAGAGCAACAATGAAAAAACACAACATAAACACACCAACAAAACCATACACAACAGTTAGAAACAGATTAGTACACCCAAAAGACAAAATATCAGCTGGACAAAAATGTGGAGTCATCTACGAAATCCCATGCAAAATATGCAATAAAACATACATAGGAGAACCCGGACGCCAACTCAATACACGGACAATAGAACATAGAAAGGAGTGCGAGAAAGAAACAAGTCGAAAACACACAAGAGCAGCAAAACAAGAAGCAGAAAGTACAATAAAGAAGTCAGCCGTAACAGATCACTGCACAAGAGAAAACCATATAATGGACTGGGACAACACACGGATCATAACCACCGAACAACAAAAATACAAAAGATGGATCAAGGAAGCTATCGAGATAAGGAGACATGGATGTGGGACCATGAACAGGGACGACGGAGTTTACACGCTGGACCAGCATGGGACTGCATCGTCGGAGAGGGGAGAGCGGGCAGTAGAGGGTGACAACGTCCTCTGCTGCCCGCAGATAAACGGAGAAGGAAGTGACGCGCCACCATCAGCGTCAGCCTGAAGAAGCCGGCAGCTGTCGGCGAAACTGTAGCTACAAACAGGTAAACAAAACTGTTTCTGTGTTTAAAAAAGAACGAAAGCATGGGTAGATACTGGTCAGTTTTTATTATTCCTGCGTGTAACCTGTTGGACTCGGTAATGATCTGCTTGTTGCTGAGGTCGGTGTGGAGGCCTGACAGCTGCAGCACATCCACAGCAGGAGAGGGGGGTGGTGTTGAAACATCATGTTCAGATGTGCTGAATAGATGTGGCTCATGCTGGTTGTGTTTGGAGTCAAAGTGAACATGTAGTGGAAGCACCTCAGCAGGTTTCATCAAGAACAAGAGCAGGTTTTTAACCCCCCCCCCCCCGTTTGAACCAGGAACTAAAAGTGTTCACTCTACTTCCTGAAACGGGTGCGCTCCTGTTCTTTTTAGGCCTGTTTTCTTTTTCTAAATCTTTCAGAAAACCACCATCTGCGTTCTTTTCCCAACACGAGCCGTCACATCAGATCATGTGACATAAACTAAGAAGTGGTCTTACCTCAAATCGGCCTGCGTAGTAAATGATGGCACACACGAACCCACAGAACAAAAACCAGAAGTTCTCTCAGCTGGACCCGCTGTTACTGGTGGTCTTTAGGTGGGATGTCTGATGTGACCAGTGTGTGAATGTAGGGATGGGTACCTTTGACATTTGAATCGATCCAGTACTAATTCCCGGTACCTAGGAATCGATACCGGTACTTAACGGTACCAATTTTCGATACTTTTGAGTGTTTATTATTTTAATTCTCTTTTATAATTAAATATATATTTTTCTCAATATATAACCATATTTGATAAATATCACATAAATAACACACAACTTTTTGTATTTTAACATCGTCCTTGTAGTTTTATAAGCTGATAATTAAACTGAAGCAAACATCTTTACTGTGAACTAAATTTACTGTGTATCTTCATTCCTTTTGCCGTCTTTTTTCATTTGATTTTTCCTACTGGGAAGTTAGAATTTCCGAGGAGAAAGCGAACGCACCATTAGCTGATAATAATGGTGGCAATGGAAGCTAATTTATCAAGCTAACGTTATCTTAAACAGTTTATTTAACTGCTGGAGCAGATTAAAACGATGATGCCTCACACTTAGATCGTTGTCGCTGGTTTCATCTTCACCCGTCGCATTTAGTAAAGTGAAGCCAAACTTTAGAGCGCGTTCATGTTCTTCTAGTCGGGAATTCGGAGTTCCGAGGAGAAAGCGAACGCACCATTAGTGAAACGGAAGCTAACATATCAAGCTAACGTTATCTTAAACATTTTATTTACCTACCGGAGCAGATTAAGATGAGGATGTCTCACTTAGATCGTTGTCGCTGGTTTCATCATCACCCAGTTACCCATCACATTTAGTGAAGTGGACCCAAGCTTTAGCCTGCGTTCTTTCTACCATGCTGCTCTGTTTACAACTGGCTCGCAGCGAGCGACGACATAACGCTCTTGCGCATGCGCAGCTGTCTTGGCAAGTTCTCGTTATGAAGGACGGGTACCGAAACGAGGCACCGTTTGAAATGACGTGAATCGGTGCTCAGTCGGTACTATGGAATTCGGTCGGTACCTTATAAAGTACTGAATTCGGTACCCATCCCTATAGTGTGTGTGACTGGTTGTGTTTGGGGGGGTGCAGTACCCTGAGAAGGCGCTATACAAATGCAGGCCGTTTACCTCAGGCAGCTGTCTAAATGCTGTCTCAAGGCAGGTTTCTAGTTTCCTGTCGGATCGGTTGGTCCATGTGGCTCAGCTTAAATTCATCCCCTCCAGTGGACTCGGCTGTTTCTGATGAATGAATGAATGAATGAATGAATGAATGAATGAATGAATTATTGTGCTTTGGAAGAACCTCAGCATTTACACAAAACGGAAGCTGTTCTGTTGGATTTCCCAGCTCGGGTGTCATAGATGTTGGGTTTCATGTTGTGAACACAATTTTATGTTTTTGCTTAAAAATAAGAGGGCAGTGAAACTTCTGAGGATTATTAAGGGATGTGTGTTAGGAAAGCATCAGTAGATATCGTTGAATGTTATCAGGTGTGATAAACATGCCTCAGCAACAGGTTAGAGGCATTTATGTGGGATGGAGTTGATGTTTTAAGGCTCACATCTGGTCCTGCTCTCTCAAAACTCGCTTCACGCCCAGAAGTCCCTTCTAATCTGTTGACCTTGCTCTCAAATGGACTCTTCTGCTCATTAATTCATAGAAATGCCCCTCTGGAGTTTCAGCTCCATCCCTCGACACTCAGGGTTTTTCTGTTTTGGACCGAAGTGACATGATCCTGCCAAGTCCAATGAGCTTGTCACGGTTTTCTTCTGGGTGCACTTGTTTCCTTAAGACTTCCACCGGCAGCGTGTTGGTGCCCCACACACCCCCCACTAGCGGTGCGACGGGTCATTTGATGGTTTTCAGTCGCGGATCGGTTTATTTTCTGGATCAGCAAAAAGAAAAGAGAAAACAGCTTTGCTGTCTCTATTTTTTAGAACACCTAATCCAAACATTTCTGCTCAATTTGCAACTTGCCATAAAAGCAGGAGTTACAGAGAGGTCCAATTGCTGATTAAATGTTAGAATGGCTTGCCCTACAAAGACACACACTCCCTTTGTTTCCAGCTTTCACTCACCTCCTCACCTTTCATCCTGCACAGATTTGTCCCCAAACATTTTTACAGGTCCCACCATGTTTGTTATGTCCCAGGCGTACTGTACTCATACTGCCTACTGTATCATCATAAACACCCCAAAAACGGCAACAAATGATCATTTCCCTTGCCAAAAATTGATTACAGTGTCTCGGTCACCTGTAAAGGGTTAAAGTGACCTAAACCTTCACCGGCTTCCAGCAGCAGCAGGCTGCCCGCGGAGGTGCCTGACTTTAAATCGGCTCCACTAAAGAGGCTTATTGGCCGATGATGAAAAAATGCTAAATATCGGCCCGATTCATCGGCCAACCGATAAATCAGTAGACCCCTAGTTCTTAGGCGTTAGATGCCCACCCCGTGGACAGACGGCACTTAGTTTGGATGGCTAGCAAACACCTGAGTTAGCTTCGTTCTGCTTTTCCCAGGATCCACTTTCCTCACATCCTTTGATCACAATTTTTACTTTTCCCATTTTTTTGTATTTTTTAATATCTTAGTTTTTGAATTTTTGTTCTTGAGGTATTTATTTGTTGCAAGTCATATCGTCATCACAATATTAATGACTATTATTGCGCTTGCAGAGCGTTTTTCTGCCGTGCGTCTCCGGCGGGGGGTGGGTGACTTCGTAGCCATGACGCAGGAATTTCAGCCGTGGCACATCGTCACGCCCGAGCCTGTGTAGAGGAACCACTGGGAGTCATGTGTGTGTGTTGTGTGCCGTGTTTCTGGTCAGGATGTGGAGGTGCCGCTTCACCTGCTGCGTTACGTCTGTCTGTTCTGTGGAAAACATGGCCTCTCCCTGATGAAGGAGTGCTTCGAGCGGGGCACTCCGGAGAGCCTCCCCTTTCCCATCGCCCACGCCTTCATCACCATCGTCTCTAACGTGAGTTCAGTCAACGCAACAGTCACTTCCTGTCTGCATTAGTACCTTAAACACAGATCCTGTGATTGGTTGTTACAAGCATGAAGCAGCCTTCAGTAATGGTACCCGTCAGTAGGATGTAGGGACTTTGCTGCCCCTGCGGTGTTACTGGTGGTCTGTAATGTTGCGTAATGACGACAGCAGTGTGATTACTTATGGTTTCTTCCACAGATACGAATATGGCTGCACATCCCTGCGGTCATGCAGCACATCATACCGTTTCGCACCTACGTAATCAGGTGAGTTACAGAATTCATCAGGTAAAAACCCACAGCGGCCATGTTTAACATCTGTCTGTATCTAGTATGTTTTAAAAAAAATAAGCAGCCATTTTTATCCTGGGATTTGAAATCTTCTTCCTCTCCAC